CTGACCCTTGGTGTATCAGGATGGCATTCTTTCTTTAAAAAAAAAATACATTTTTATTGATTTCAGCGAGGAAAGGAGAGGAAGAGAGAGATAGAAACATCAGTGATGAGAGAGAATCATTGACTGGCTGCCTTCTGCACCCCCCCATTGGGGATTGAGCCTGCAACCTGGGCACGTGCCCCTGACCAGAACCAAACCCGGGACCCTTCAGTCCGCAGGCCGATGCTCTAACCAGCCAGGGCAGGATGACATTCTTAACCAACTGAGCCGGCCAGGGCAGCTTGATATTTCTTCACAGTTGGACTCAGGTTATGCGTTTTTTGCTGGGGCTACCACAGAGGTGGCACTGTGCCCCTCTCAGCCCTCATATCTGGAGCCACCCCATGTTGGCTTGCCTCATTACCGGTGATGTTAACTTTGATCCCTTGGTTAAGATTTCTCCACCTAAAGTTGCATACTCTTCCTCGGTATGAACACATATCTTGTGAGGAGATACTGTAAGACTAAAACTACCCTATCCTGGTAAGCAACACCCCTTCCTGCCCCAATTTCACCCCATGGTTTTAACACCCGTCCTTACCTGAATCAGTTATCATGGTGGCTGTAACTTGGTCATTTTAAACTCTATATTCCTTCTTTAATGATGAGTTGGCTTTCTTACTGCAAAAGAACTTCCCTACTCGCCTTCCTCCCTTCGGCTTCCCCTCGTCCTTCGCTCTGCATCTCTAATATTTCCAGAATTGGTATGAGCTCATGGGTCCTTCCTTCATTCAGTGAGCACCGCCCTTACTCATCTTGATGCATAACGTGTCCCTGTTTTGCCAGAGGAAACTCCCTCAAGCTGGTTCCATGTCCTTCCCACAGGTTACCGTCATCCTGCGAGTGCCTCCTGCTTTCTAAGCACAAGATGTTCCAGGCGCACCTGGTGCTTTGCCTGCCCCGCGTTGGAATCAGCCACTGCCCAGGAGCCCTGGCCCCTTTGAAGGAGAGGGGTATCCAGAAGCCAAGATCCGGTGTCAGGCGCCGGCCCTGTTTTGAAGGTAGAGAAAACAGAATTTACAGATGGGTTGAATGAAGGTATAAGAGGAGAAGGGTCCCTATTCCCTTTAGCTTTTTAGACATTGCTTCCCTGAAGTCTTCCTAGACACTCCCTAAGGCTGAATCTAGCCTCTATTTTAGCAAGTTTTCTATCATGTGAACTTTATACACAGCATGTCTCTAAGCGCAGCATGGTACCTGTCAGACTCTGGCACTGCCCTGGAGATGCTCGCTCTGGGCCTTGGGCCCTTCAACCGGCCTGGTTTTGAAGCTCATCTCTAGCACTTGTTGGTTGTCTGAACCTGGACAAGTCTCTTAACTGGTTTCTCAGTTTCTTCATCTGCAAAGTTAGGGTGATAATATGTACCTCATAAATGCTATGTGAATGTAAAGTGCTTGGCATTGAGCCTGGCCCATTCTAGCTGCCTAAGGGAGTTTACCTAACCTCTCCTACCTTGTTTCCTCACCTGTGAAATGGGCTTGCACCCAGCTGATGTGGCTCAGCGGTTGAGTGCCAACGCAGGAACCAAGAGGTCACCATTTGATTCCCAGTCTGGGCACATGCCCGGGTTGTGGGCTCCATCCCCACTGGGGGGCATGCAGGAGGCAGCCAATCGATGATGTTTCTCCCATCGATGTTTCTATCTCTCTATCACTCTCCCTTCTTCTATCTCTAAAATAATCTATAAATATATATATACACACACATACATACACATATATATGTGTGTGTATGTATATATGTGTATATATACATACATATATACACATATATACTAGTGTGTGTGTGTGTGTGTGTGTGTGTATTTTTTATTTTTATTTTTTAAAGGGCTTGCTGTGAGGAACGGCTGGAATCCTGCATAGAGATTTGTACCTGAAAAACTGCGACTACCAGCATTTTCTAAGAGTATTTCCAAAGTCTTGCCCTTTTGTGACGTCCTGGGGCCACCGCCCGGTTCATATTCCATCCCCTCTCTCTCCACCCCGGGGTCCGCAGGCTGCGCTGCCAGGTCTCGTTCCCTGAGTGCTTCAGGCTGGATGCATCTACATCATCTCAGGTTTCCCCGGAACTGGGGCCCCACATGGAGCCTGGGGAACATACACTTTTGTCAGCAGCAATTGGGTGGGAATGACAATTTTGCCAAAAATAAATTTTGCATCCTGGCTGGTTTTTCTCAGTGGTTAGAGCGTCAGCCCTCGGACCGAAGAGTCGTGGGTTCGATTCCCGGGCAAGGGCATGAACCCTGGTTGGAGGTTCCCCGGCCCTGGTAGAGGCGTGTGCTGGAGGCAATCGATGTGTCTCTCTCACATCCATGTTTCTCTCTTTCTCCCCCCACTCCTCCCTGCCTCCCTCTCTCTGGAAATCAATGGGAAAAATATCTTGGGGTGAAGATTAAAAATAGATAGATAGATAAATTTTGCTTTAGTGATTTTTTTTAAAGATTGGAAAATTTGGGAATCTGTGCAGTCTTCCAAACATCTTTATTTTTTTAGAATTAAAAACATTTTTTCAACATCCTATTACTTTGCAACCAATTATTCCTACTTTTCTGTTTGTAGTAGCAAAATTTTGCAGCAACCTAAAGGTCCAACAATGGAATGGTTTCCTTCTTTCCTTCCTCCCTCCCTTCCTTCCTTCCTTCCTTCTTTCCTTCCTTCCTTCCTTCTTTCCTTCCTCCCTTTCTCCCTCCTCTCCCCTCTCCTGTCTCCCTCCCTCCCTCTCTCCTTCTTTCATTAGTTCAGTAAAAAAAGAAAAGTACAGAACAGTGTATGTAATGAAATCCTATATAATAAAAGCCTAATATGCAAATTGTTTGACCGGGAGTTCAACCGCTTGCTATGACGTGTGCTGACCACCAGAGGGTGGTGCGGAACATGATGGGCATCGTCGATGCGGCGCTGGCAGCCAGCAGCAGTGAAGGCGCTGCCGACTCTGATGGGCCCCGATGATGGGAGCAGGACTGTGGTGGGATGGTGGAGCAGGTGAATGGGTGGCACCAGGCCAAGGTGGGTGCGAGCAGGGGGCCCGATTGCCCCACCAATCGCCCCACAGACAGCGACCAGCAGTGGCAGTGCGGGGAGGGGTTGCCACCTGGCTCCCAGGTGCTGAGGTAGAGAGCAGAGGGCCCAGCCCTAACCGATCGTCCTGCAGGCAGTGTGGTGGAGCAGGTGAGGGGGTGGTGCCAGGCCACGGAGGGGTGCCAGATGGGGCTGCGGGGCTGCAAGGCTGGGGGCATGAGCTGGGGCCCAATCCCCGCAGGCCACCCTGAGGGACCCCACCCATGCATGAATTTGGGCATCAAGCCTCTAGTCTAAAATAATGAAACTAGAGGCCCGTTGCATGAAAATTCAGCCCGGCCTGCCCCCTCTCACAGTCCGGGAGCCCTCAGGGGTGGGAGGCGACCTGGCGATCAGGGGAAGGCAACGCCCCGTCACCCCTCTGCTGCTGCCACTGCCGGCAGCGCAAGCCTTGGCCAGCCCTGGTTACCTGAGCCTCGGGTGGCCCTGGGTGGCTGGAGGGCTGAGGGGACTGGGCACCGCCATCTTGTGGCTGTGGGCACCACCATCTTTGAGGGCGGGGCAGTCAATTAGCACCTTCCCTCCTTATTGGCTGTAGGCCGCCATCTTTGCGACGGTGTGAGGGTCAATTAGCATATTCCCTCTTTATTAGATAGGATACATGAATGCGTAAAGGCTTTGTTAGGAATGTTTACCTGCTGGTGGTGAATGGAGCCTCCCCAGTTTGCGCCCTCTGGCTGTTGGAGGGGCATCCCACCCGCTGTGGCCCTGAGCTTCCCTGCAGCGCCTGCTGCTGTGTGGCAGGCAGAGTCCTGGCCACTCCCTATCAGGCCGCTTCTCAGGTTTGTGTTTGCAGTTAGTAACTCTAAGGGGCAAAGTAATGTCTCCTGTAAGGACAGGGAGCAGGCTTCCTTACCGCCTGCTTGAAAAGAGAAATTCCCCAGCTGTGGGGCAAGCCCCTTTGTGTGCCCGAGCGGGCCTTGGGGGCGAGGGGAGCTGGTTACCACATAGCGCCTGCTGCTTGCTGTGCGGCGACTACTGAGCTCCTGTGTCTGGCCCAGGCGTCTCGGTCTTGGCGTCAGACTCGCCTGTTAGTGAGCCTGTGAGTGGGGCAGGGCCCAGGCCTGACGCTGGCCTGTTTCACCCATAGGTACATCTATTGCTTTTACAGTTTTTATGTTTTTAGAAAGAAGGCAAAAAAACAAAACCATACACATAGCAAAAGTCAGAGCTTACAAATTGGGGGAAAATCAGAAAACAGCAACCATCCAAAGAAGAAAATAACGAGCCTTCCTCATACCTGTCCTCAGAGACTTGGTTGGCACCCCAGCAGATCTCCCCAGACTGCTCTTTCCACGGAGTGCCACGTGTGTGCTAGGCCTCTATCAGAATCAGATCATGGCCTGTGCAGTGCTTGCAGCTGCCTTGACTTAGCTACGCAGCCACACGGGGCCACTGTGGCGGCCCTCCAGCTTCTTGAGAAGCAGTCAGGGGCTCACCAGGGATCCGTGCAGCCTGCAAAGGCTTTCTTTGCCCCCAGCAGAGTCAGGGGCTTCCTCTGGTACTTCCTGGATTCTGGCCTAACAGCTTGGGGACCACAAATGCAAAGGAAACCACCCTCCCCTCTCATTTCCTCCCCTGCACCCCCTAGTTCTTAAGTGCAGGTTCCCATCACCCCGGGTCTGACCCCCTTCCTTATCCCAGCTGAACCTCTTGCCGTCCCATTTCCCGCCCATTTCCCTGCTAAGACGGAGGACTCCCGACCCAGATTCCCCGTCCCACCCCAGCTCAGACCCCAGAGCCCCTGCACCACCTCAGACCCCGGAAAGAGTAAGTGATGCCGCTCTGGTCACAAGGCAGCAGTGGGAACAGGGCGGGTGGGGCAGGATGCTGGGGTGGGGTGGGTGGAGCCAGGGCCACTTCCTTTCCCCTTGGGGCCCCTGTCCGCCCAGTCCTACCCCAGCTTCAGGAGGAGTTGGAGCAGCCTGGCCCCAGGCCTGGGCCTTATCACGTGAGCTGGTAAGGGGGTGGGACTCGGTGGGCGGGGGTCTCATCAGACCTGGGAATGCGCCTATGGCTCGGAAAGACCCTGAAAAATGGCGGGAAAAGAGGATCAGGAGCCACTGGGGCTGAAGAGGGTCAGGGAAGGCCGGGAGGGGTGGCCGTTGCTGGTTGCAAGCTGCTATGGCCTGAGGGGGCCTAGGGGATAGAGTTGATGGAGGAGCTCCCAGCATCTGTTCCCTTGTTGTTTCTGATAATAGTAAAAGAAAGGGTGGAAAAAGCCGTTAAACCTCAGGTTAGGCCTGGCAATTGGTAGGGAAGTCGGCAGGAGGAAGGTCCTACCACCAGCCTCTTATGTGTTCCATTTCTCCACCCTCAGGTCCCAACCCCTGCTCATGTCTGTTGTCATGGAAATGACCCTGCTTCTCCTCTTCTTTGGGGGTCTGTGGGCCCAGAAGGTGGACACAGAGTCTCCGGAGATGTCTACACCCAGACAGACCTCTTTTTCTTTGGTCTCAAACATCTCTGAGGCCTCAAACCTTGATTCAGTGGCCTCCGATCAGGCAATAACAAGGGTCCCTGAGGAAAATGGCGGTACTGGGCACCAGGTCTCCCTGCCTTCCTCAACTCCATACGAAGTGTCCTCTCCTGAGACGTCCATGGCTGCCAGCGTTGGCCTCTTTATAGCTGATCCAATAGCCACCCAAGAAGTTCACACCAGGAAGTTATCAATGTTCCAGGAAAGCTCCACTGCAACCAGTGATCCTACTGTCCCAGCAATGACTACTCTGGGACTTCACACTACGGCTGGTGAAACCATGGCAACTAGCTCTCTGGAGACCTCCAGTGGGACATTGACAAGTAAATCTCCTGTCACCATGGCAACCAGCTCTCTGGAGCCCTCCAGTGGGACCAGTGGACTCCCTGTCACCATGACAACTAGCTCTTTGGAGACCTCTGATGTGACCAGTGGACCCCCTATCACCATAGCAACTAGCTCTCTGGAGACCTCCAATGGGACCAGTGGACGCCCTGTCACCATGGCAACCAGCTCTCTGAAGACTCCCAAGGAGACCAGTGGCTCGCCCATCTTTGGGGTAAACATACTCATGACTACCCCAGGCATCTCCACAAACAAAGGCAGTGGGCCTTCCCAAAGTTCAGATCAGAAGACAAGTAACACCCTGGTGGTGGCTGTGCTTGTGGCCCTGCTGGTGGTCATTATTCTCCTGGCACTCGTCCTACTGTGGCGCCGGCGGCAGAAGCGGAGGACGGGGGCTCTGACGCTAAACAGAGGTGGGAAGCACAATGGGGTGGTTGATGCCTGGGCTGGGCCCGCCCGAGTGTCTGATGAAGAGGCTGTGATAACAGCAGCAGGAGTGTCTGGTGGTGACAAGGGCTCTGGGGTCCCAGAAGGGGAGGGTTCTGGCCGTCGGCCCACACTCACCACTTTCTTTGGTAGACGGAAGTCTCGCCAGGGCTCCTTGGCGCTGGAGGAGCTAAAGGCCGAGTCAGCCGCCAGCCTGAAGGGGGAGGAAGAGCCACTGGTGGGCAGTGAGGATGAGGCTGTGGAGGCCCCCGCTTCTGACGGGCCGGTAGCGGGAGATGTGGAGGTCCCTTAGTGCTTGTGAATAACAAGTCTGGAGGTCAGAATCATTCCTAGCTTTCGGCACCCTCCTATCATCGCTTCCCTCCTCATCAGCACCCAGCGTTCGCACCCAGCATCTTCACTCTGAATCCTCATCTAGCTTCTTAACCCTGGACTTTCCAGCTCCGCACCCAACACCAGCACCTCCACCCAGCGCCCCAACCCAGCAGGAGGCCAGGGCCTGCACCCACAGAAGGCTCAGAGACTGAATGAATGAACTTCCTCACCAGCCCTACTTCTCTCCATCGCCTGTCCTCCACGTTTTGTCTTTGAAACCAGATGCTGAGTCTCTATGATGCCAATTTCCTTGGCCTATGATTGCTCAGAGGGTTCCCCAGGGACACCAGAGTCTGGGAAGAAGGAAATGACAAGCCAGAAACTTCCGTCTAGGATTACTCCGTAAAGCACATTTGGCCCGTAGATTAGGACAGCCACTGGGTGGACCCACGAAACTCCTTTAACTCGGGGCCACAGTGCTCTGCGGGGCCAGCCTGAAGCGGTGCCATCTAGCTGTGCTCTCAGGTGTGCCTGGTGCACACCTGGCCTCGAGGCTGGCCCCGGGCTCAAGCCACCACTCCCTCCCTCACTATGGACCATGGACCGAGGCAGCCAAAGGCTTCAGCTATGCCTCCTCCCGCCGGCAGAGGTGAGAAGAGCTCTGGGCGGGTGGAGTCCTCGGAAGCCCCAGCACCCATGTGGGTCCACTCATGGGTGTGGTTTGTGTGCAGGAGGCAAGGATGCGGTGGTTGTGGAGGGCAGTGGTGCGTGCAGAGGGCGTGAGGGCGGGGCAGGAAGGGTTTCGGGGCTGAAGACATGCCAGCTGCTGAGAACATCTGCACCCTCCTCTCTGCTCAGATGGGGTGGAGGTAGGAAAAGGCCAGGGAAAGAATGCTGGGCTTGATGGGAAGACGGCCCGTGTGACCCCAGCCCGGTTCTGCAGCCCAGCTGCTCGGCCCCCTCACAGCCTCCCCTGCACGGGAGCCAGGGGAGAGGAGCCCTGGGAGCGGGTCCTGGTGACGCTCTGCTGTCACATGTGTAATGTGTTTGTCTGTTGCAAGCTCCTGCCCTTCTCCAATGCGAGTCCGTGAGAGCCAGCTAAAGAGGATGTGCCACGCTGGCAGCACCAGGGGCTTCCCCTGTGGCTCTGGGACAGGCAGGAGGCGACAGGACCCAACTGGCTGTCCCTGAGAGCAGCCCAGGCCAGCGCCCAGGGAGCCGCATGGCCCAGAGGCGGTTGGTATTTCCCCAGGGCAAAGAGGAAATTTGCAAAGAGGAAGTTGTTGAGTCACTGGGGGCCAGTGGCTGAGAGCAGACAGATTGACCTACAAAACGAGGGCGGAGTAACAGGGGGTCACCATGGGACAGATGGGGAAAGGGCCCTGGCGGTCAGGTCATGAGGTGGGGGAGAGAGGGGCACAGAGGGGCTGGGGCGGAAATCCGGCCTTCACCGTGCAGACTGCGCCCACGAGGCTGTGTCTGGCACCTTTTCCTACTTCTCACAAGCGCTGTTTGGGCTGCCGGTAGCCCCACGGCAGCAGAAGTGAGTTCCCAAAGTCCCGTAGGGATTCTGTAGCTGTTGTCTTCGATTTATCAAACCAAGTCCCCGATCTCAGAAAATCTTGTCCCTGAACTCAGAGGCCAGCCCCTCCACCTGCTCGCGCAGCACGGCCGACTAGCTTCCTCGCTCCCAAGCTCCAAGGGCCCCCCTTTACCTCTGCAGGTTGCTTCCGAAGCCCACTGCCCCCAGGAATTACTTTTCCTACCTCTGTGACTTACCCAGTAAGTGTTCTCTGACAGTTTGGGTCTGGATTCTGAATTCTTTCCCAGCCACAACCCAAGTACCAAGGTGGCTGAAACCCAGGTTTGGTCTGCACCCACTGGTCAGACACCTGGTGCCAGTCCGCTGCCCACCACATCTTCACCTTCACAGAAACCCACTCCTGTGAGCCCGATTCAGAACTCGGCCACCTTTCCTGGCTGCCTCAGAGAGCTCATGACTAGTTTGGACATTTGTGTCCACACCTTCAGCATCTTAACTTGAACTTTGGATAGTGACAGTAAAACTTTAGTATCTACATGCCATGAGGGCCCTAGCCGGTTTGGTTCAGTGGATAGAGCATCAGCCTGCGGACTGAACAGTCCTGGGTTCGATTCCGGTCAAGGGCATGTACCTCAGTTGCAGGCTCTTCCCTGGCCCAGGCCCTGCCTGGGTGCATGAAGGAGGCAACCAATGGATGTGTTTCTCTCACATCGAAGTTTCTCTCTGTCTTTCCTTCTTTCTTCCACCCTCTCTGAAAATCAATGGAAAAATATCCTCGGGTGAGGATTAACGAAATTAATTAATTAATTAATAAAATATATGTCTCGAGGGACCCAGAGAAAGACAAATGCCATATGCTCTCACATGTGGAACCTAATGAACAAAATAAACTGACAAACAAAATAGGGTCCCAGGTTCGATTCTGGTCAAGGGCACATGCCCAGGTTGCGGGCTCGGTCCCCAGTGGAGGGCATGCAGGAGGCAGCCAATCAATGATTCTCTCTCATCATTGGTGTTTCTATCTCTCTTTCCCTCTTCTTTCCTCTCTGACATCAATAAAAATATAAAATGAAAAAAAAATAATGTTGCTGAATTCACAGAATCCTGGTGAGGATTCAGTGAGGTATATTTTTTAAAAAAACACAAAAAAACTATGTAATGATTTTGAAAAATGTCTACAATATAATGTCAAGTGGGAATATATAGTAACTGTGGTTATCTATAAAGGTTTATGGGTGATTTTTATTTTGTTTATACTTTTCTATATTTGCAAATTTTATACAATAAATGCCAATCACTTTACAATTACAAAAAATATGAGCTAATAGGTGTTCCCTGGGGGTGTGGTCTGGGGAGAGCTGCGGGAGGTGAGGCTGCAGAGGCCTGTGGGAGCCGTGCTAAGGGGCTGGAGCGTTCCCATTGGTCTGGAAGCCTGAGGGGAGTTAAACCGAAGCCGGCTTCACGCCTCCGTCTGAGGCCTCAGCAGGTGCTGCATACATCGTAGGTGTCTCATGCTTTCGGAAGGTTCCTGTTCGCTTGCCACTTCACTTGTACAAAAGACCTACACTGGTGCCTGTTTTCGTTAAATGAAAGAAATCCACAGAAGATTCTCACTCTCACCCACTGGACAGCATGATGCTAAGCGGAATAAGCCAGTTAGAGAAAGACAAATATCACATGATCTCACTTACATGTGGAATCTAATGAGCAAAACAAACTGATGAGCAAAGCCCTAGCTGGTTTGGCTCAGCGGATAGAATGTCGGCCTGCAGACTCAAGGGTCCCAGGTTCGATTCCGGTCAAGGGCATGTACCTGGGTTGCGGGCACATCCCCAGTAGGGGGCGTGCAAGAGGCAGCTGAATCGATGTTTCTCTCTC